AATTGAGGAGCCAGTCTACGCCTTTGCATATTATTAAGCAAAACAAAACAATGAAAAAAAAAACACAAAATACAAATAAATATAAGAAGTAAAGTCAGTCATTAAAGCGGCTTTGATTGAAATATGGACTTGAAGCTTATATTAATGAAAATCTGATTAGGCGAATTCTAGTCTGTCATTTGTGTAATTTGTTACTGGAATTTGCATTTAAATATGATTTTAGATATATGTGTTTTTTTTTTTTTGTTTTTTTTTTACCTACACAAACCTTATGAACTTTCTGTTTAATTATGTAAATGGCATTGCTGTCAATTTGCAAACATTTATAATTTATTATAATATATTAAATTGTCAACAATATTAAAATGTCAACTGACAATAATTATTTAAAACTATTTATATTGTTTATATTAATTCAATTGTTTTGTTGTTGTTGTTGTTTCTGTTATAATTGTTGTAATCAATTATGCATACAATTGGCGCTTTGTCGGTAAGATGGCGCTTAGCTGAGTGATTCACATAGATAAATTATATTATTTTATTATTAACTTTCAAATTATTGCGGTTTCTTTGTTGTTATAATCAAATGAATAGTCAAAAGATATTAGTAAAGTGTTTAACTTAAAAATTTAATTAAAATTCAATTAAGAGGATTAACATTTAACGTCATCTTTTGTCATATTATTAGAAAATTTATGAAAGAAGGGAAGATTTTAAAAATTTTAATAGAGAAGAATAAAAAAGTCTACAAGAACTGAAAAAAAATAAATTTATACTAAGAAATGTGTTCGAATCGCGTTTAAACTTAATAGTTATAGACAGACAACTTAATAGTTATTGTCTTAAATAAATCTATAGTTCTTATGTTACACATTATTAAAATATAAAAATAGTAAAATGTTAAAATAGCTATTAATATGTTATAATTTAATAATCGCAAATAAAAGAACTTACTACTACTAAAAAATAATTCAATTATTCTACAGCTAGTTTATGATTTCGTTTCAATACAACACAGCAAGTGAATTTGTTAATAAACTTTTACATCAAAATAACAAAACTCCAGAAAAATGTGTGAACATAAAAGTCAAGTACGATTTTGGGTCAGTTGGTTAAGGAGCGCTGACTCTGCGCTTAATATTTGGTAGGGTGCAAGTTGAGCTCTTGGTAATTGCAGTTTCATAAAAATTATTTGCGAATAATTAAATACAAGAAATAATTCCAAGACCACTGATGATGGGTATTGGGCAATACTCAAAACAGCTATATAGTCAGCCAAACGTTCAATTAATAAAAATATAATATAAAAAAATTTTTTTAAACCTCTTTACTAAATATAGAAATTTCTATTAAAGAAATAGTAACTTCCGTCATAACCTGACGTTAAATTACAACTTACATATACTAAAGAACGTAATAATAATCGAACAGAGAAAATATATAAATATATATAATATAATACATATAATACATATATGTATATAATATAATATAATATATACATATACATATACATATATAATATATATAAATACGAATAATTAAATACATCTCTGTTCGATTATTACTAAGTTCTTTAGTATAAGTTGTAAATTAACGTCAGGTTATGACAGAAGTAACTATTGGCTGACCATATAGCTAACCATTTATGAATTATATATGTTATAAGATATCTTCATATAACAACAATTTGTACTTTAAATTTGGCAGTTTAAATGACTGGTATTTGCAATCTAAAAACTTTAACAAAACAACAAATTTATATTATATTATGTATATAAATGTATATACATATTTAAGAAATATATACAAAGATCTCTGCGAGTATTTGGCAATATAATATCAAAGGCACCTATATTGTCAGCCAAAACTAATTTCAATTCATAATTAAATTCAAGAAAATACATCTATAGATATTGTTTTTTAATTTCAATAATAAATAAAATAAAAAAATAATAATTTAAATAATAAAATATAGAAAAATTTATTCTTTTAATTCAATACTATGTCTCCATCTCTATTTTAAAGTGTTTCTTCCTTACATTATTTTTTATTCTAACATTACGCTGTTACTGTTAACAGTGACAACTTTTGTTATGTATTCTGAATAACATATTATGTTATTCAAAAATATACACCTGTAAATTAACATAATTGTACAATATATAATCTAATGCAGGATGACTGCCAACGTTCTGCAGTTGGCCTTCCTTAACATTTATAGTTTCTTTAGAAGATGCTTTACTATTGTCTACTCGACGCTTAGTAACGCTTATCTGTTGCCTTTTCATTACTACATATCAACACTTACTGTTTCTCTTGCTTATACCGAATAACATATTTCGCACCTCACTCGTAAAAACTATATGCCTATATGGAGTCACAACCCACTACAGCGCTCTTTAATAGCCCATATCACTAACATAAAATTACACGACTGCTATGATCACATAAGCGATCGTTTATATATGGACATATAATAAACAACTTAGCATAGAAATATAACTGACTAAACACTTTTTGATCTTTACAAAATATTATCCAGAATTAAATCAATAATTTTAAATATCAAACAAAAATAAATCTGATTATGGAACATTTTATTGACCGTGAATGAATTGGAAGTGAATGATTCTATTTTTTTTTTCTATTTATATTAATTTTATTACTCGTAGTTTTTGTGGTTTTTTTGTTGTTGTCTCTATTGACTATATACTACAAAACAACAACAACAACAACAAACACTATACACTACACAATAATAACACCAGAAATAATATTTTGTAGCTATTGTTTTTATTTTGATTTTGTTGTGTTTATATCTCCTAAAGAAAACATATAAAAAAAATTTTTTTTTGACGGTAAGTTTCTTTGATCTTATCATTGAGGCTTCTTACTCGCATTTTGATCAAAGCGAGTTTTTCCGCCTAAGTAAAAATACGCTAAAATAGCAGCAACAACAACAACAACAACAACAACAGTAACAACAATAACTACAACAATAACAACAAATAAGGAGAAAAAAACTGCAAAAATTTTAAAAATTAACTAAGTAGAAGAGAAGTGCAAAGATACAAAACAAGATCAAAGATCATGTATGAAACACGAAACACATGTGAACAACTTAACTACCGATACCTATTAACCCATAAAGAGCAAATTGTTTGATTTTTGTTTTTATTTTGTTTGAAACATTTGTCGCTTTTGTTGTTAGCAAAATATTTTTATGTCTAAAAATAACTTAAATTTTTTTTTAAAAATTTTTCCAAATTAAATTATACATCTGGTCACCTCTTTGATAATAAATCGTGTGGTTGCCTAACGATAGGAGTTAAAATGGAAGATTTTTTCTTAAAGTTTATATATTTTTTCTTGATAGAAAATATCTGCTCACTTTCTCAATATAAGTACTAGTTATTTTTGGACTTTTTAATAATTATTATAGTTTTATAAAAGGATTTTAGTAAAAATTCTTACATTATATCCCATTTTCTTTATTTATTAAGGTTTTTATGAAAAATAATATTTGTTTCGAATAAAGGTACTTACATTCAATTCTTTGCTTACAATATTTTTCCATAAAATAACTATTTTATATTTCCAGAAAGACCATACAAAACATTTCTATGGTCACCCAAAAATTCAATTAATTAAAAATAAAATTTATTTTTACTTCCCTTTAAAATAAGAATTCAAATAATTGGATTAAAAGTTCTTGAGAAATGTGCGCAATTCTATACGTATATATATGTATAGTTAATATTTTGTTCAGCGCAAAATTGCCAAAACAATTTTCAAGCAAGGTATTCTTCATCAAATATGGTTTTAAATCTTGTCAGTTGCATGGAACATAACCATTTTGTCCATACCTTCCTTAATCATTGCCGTAGTTATACATTTTAAATTACTGATGATTGTTTATTGAGTAATATTACTTAATTTTATATAGTTCACACCAGCTTGAATATTCATTTTATAAAAATTAGTTTTGCATTTTTGTAATATCGTACATCTGGTCACTTAATTTCAAATATAACGAATTTTATTGACCGTAAAACACTTGCTATTTTCTGATAGGGGTCACTGGGAGTAATTTTGAATTGCTTTTTCAACTTATAATAAAAAACAATTAATTCTTTTTTATGTTAACTAAAATAAGCAATATTTATATACGAAGAAGAAATGTTGTGTAAAAAAAATAAAATTGTGCCAATGTAGGAATTAAAATTGGAATTTATTGTTCAAAATTAATAAAGTATATTTTGAAAATATTAACATTATTTATGTATAAAATTTTAAGATATTCGTATATGAATGTTTTAAATTAAAATTTTACATGTTTAATTATTGAATTATAAAAACGAATTATTACTTTGACAAGAACTAATACAAAAATTTTGTGGCTCGTAAGTCAGTATTTCCACCAACGCAACTGCCAGTGCTATAGCTTGATAGATAGCGCTGTTCAATTTTATACGATATTTCGATATACGATAATTAATTTATTCAGTATTATTTGCTAATTTAGCAATTAACTTCAATTAATTAATTAATTTTGAAATTATTGTAAAAAAATTCATTTTACACATTTTTATTCACAAATTAAGCATTTAGATGAAGGTTAGTTTATATTTAAAATTATTCTGAGACGTACTTTGTTTAGATCGCCTGTGGATCGTGTAAGTTACTATGAGAAAATCCTATGAAAAACTGATATACTATAATATGTATATACTAATATACTATATATATGTGAAAACAAATCCAAGCTCTTATAAATAATTAATATATTGTCCATGAAGCTCACTTTAATTATTTTTAATTAAATAAACGAAATACTCAATTTTCTACTACATTTAAAAAATTATTATATGTATATGTTATATGTAACATATATTATTTATTCCAAATAAATTCCACATTAATCTAAAAATAATTTATTTTATTTTTTTTAAATAATATTAGAGAAAAAATACAAGCACCTGCAGCCACAAAAGAATTCTACAGTACACACTTCCCTGCATTCTCTTCGCTGTAATAACGATTTCACATTTTAAGACGGTGCAGTCACGTTCTACAACATTACGCACATATCCCGAATCAGCGTCCTTATTAAGTAATTCCGGTATTTCGGATACACAGCAGAATTCCTCCACTACTTCAATGCGACAAAAATTAGCAATTGAAACGAATTCCTTACAACGACCAGGCGTTGAAGCCAACCAAATGCAAGATAAAAATAGTCGTTCCCTGAAACGCGTCTTTCTATCGAATCGCACTATAACCTGTAACGATGGCTCACAAGCCGGTTTCTATCTACGCAAGAATCCACAATCGAAAAAATGGATTGTATTTCTTGAAGGCGGTTGGCATTGCTATGATACACGCTCATGTCGCGCACGTTGGTTACGCTTGCGACATTTAATGACGTCTGCACAATGGACCGAAACCAGAGATGGTAAGTAGACACAAAATTTAAATTAATTAATTTTGTTTAATTTAATTACGAGTATAATTTTTATTAAATATGTTTTTATTAATTACAGTTGGCGGAATTTTGTCACCACTAGCAGAGGAGAATCCCTATTGGCACAGTGCAAATCACGTGCTGGTGCCATATTGCAGTAGTGACTCTTGGTCAGGTACACGTGCTATTGCTGAATCGCCTGAGAGGAATTGGCGTTTTATGGGTGCTTTGATTTTACGTCAAGTTATTGCTGATCTTATACCTCTCGGTCTAGGACGTACCGCTGGTGCTGAGTTGTTGTTAGTCGGCTCTTCAGCAGGCGGCTTGGGTGTTATGCTGAATTTGGATCGTATAACACGTTACTTGCAGCAAGAACGTAATCTGTTTGTGACAGTACGTGGTGTAAGTGATTCCGGTTGGTTTTTGGATCGAGAACCGTATACACCTTCTGCAGTGGCGTCAAGTGAAGCTGTACGTCAGGGTTGGAAATTGTGGCAAGGTTTGCTGCCCGAAGAATGTATGAAAGTACATACTGCTGAGCCTTGGCGTTGCTATTTTGGTTACCGTTTATATCCAACTTTAAAATGTAAGTAGAAAATTAAAAAACAGTTTTTTTAGAATGAAAATAACGAATTGTTTTTTAATGATTTATATAGCACCTCTCTTCGTATTTCAATGGCTTTTCGATGAAGCACAAATGAGAGCAGATAATGTTGGCGCACCAGTTACACCACAACAATGGAACTATATACATGAAATGGGTGCAGCTTTGCGCTCTTCATTGGATAATGTAACCGCTGTATTTGCGCCTTCTTGCATCGGGCATGCAGTACTCTCTAAAAGAGATTGGATTAATATACGCCTAGATGATATATCATTACCATCTGCTTTGCGTTGTTGGGAACATTCAACACGTCCACGTCGTAGACGACATGATAAGTTGGGGCGCTCTACTGAAGCTACACTCACACCTAACAAGAAACACAGACATCCAAATAACCAAAGGGAAGAGAAAAACGAGCACAACAAAAATAGACAAAATAATTTAGAACATCCCAAACGCCATCAGAAACATCTCACAAAAGAACAACGTGCAGAACGTAGAAGATTACGTTTGCAGAAACAAGCCCAGCGACGTGAACAACGTGAACGACATAATCGTAAGCAAAATAATGCAGGCGTTGCCAGAAAATCTGACCGAGAAAATAAATTACCGAAAAGGCCACACGATATCAATGGGACAAATGTGCATGAACGAAAACAACATAAAGAACGTAGACGCAATCATGACACAAGAGAGAATGCACAAAAACCCAGGCAAGGTAACAAAAGACGACGAAAAGAACAGAAATTGCAACGTGAAAAAGAAAAGGAACGTGACTTACAACAACAACAGGAGCAAATTTTAACAAAGGCACAGAAGGATCACTCAATCAACCGTACTAAACGCGTTTCTCGTGTCCCCGAAAAATGCATTCCCAGACTCTTGGAACGTTGCAGCTGGCCACAATGCAATCATTCCTGTCCAACACTCACAAACCCTTTAACTGGTGAGGAGATGCGATTTTTAGAACTCTTGACCTCATTCGGCTTAGATATTGAAGCAGTGGCAGCTGCGTTGGGTGTTGATATGCATACTTTGAATAATATGGACCGTACAGAATTGGTTAACCTATTAACACAACAAGTGAGCTGATTAAGAGTGAGTTAGATAGAATTGAAAGAGGTTAATCGAAAATATTAGAATACCAAGAAATGGTATTAACGGCATAAGAAAGCGCCAAAAGTATGCTTGTCGCTAAAGCAAGCAGAAACGATAATAAAAGAAGTGGTGTATTTCTCATGTGGTGAAAATCTCATGTGGTGAATTTATACACTTGTACGGCTTCAATGATCTTTCATAGTGTCGAAATCTAATGCGATAGCCAAGAAGTACTTAAACTTTGTATATAGCTAAGAGCATAAAATTTAAATAATTAATTGTAATTTAAAATTAATTTTAAAAAATCAGTTAAAGTTCAAATTATTTATATAAGGCACCAAATATTTTTAATAATAATTAGGCGGAGAGGAATTTATTTTTTTCTTATTGTACATAGTTTGGTTTAAGATTTAGCGATAAAGACATATAGTAAGCCCAGTCGTTAGAAAATTTTATTTATTTTAATTTTATTTTTATGAAAATAAAAAGCAACCTTATAAGAAAAACAAAATAGTTAAAATTAGCTAAAATTGAATACAAAGCCAATGATTTGATGATACAAACGATAATATCCTGGCATGGTTCTTTGAGCAAATACATTACTCGTTACTTAAGCAACATATTAGTTACTTTTTTAAACACTACTAGTTGCACAGATATTGTAAAATATTATTTCTGGAAAACGTAAATAAAATTATAAATAAATAATTATTACATAAATTATAACTAATTTTTAAAAAATTAATTAATTTTTTTTTTCTTTACTCGTTGATAATTCCAACCAGTATATTATTTTTTTTTATTTTTTTTATTTTTTTTTTGCTCGAATAACTATGCCGCATTTAATTTGCTAAATACTAACATAAAATGCAAACCAGAAGACTGTTAAATTTTAATTGTTATTTTTTTATTATATATGTACTTAAATTAAAAGTAACACGAAGTTAAAATTGTGTAAAAAATTATTTACTTATAAAAAAAGTACAACTGTTATAAAAATAATAGCCAAGAATCCGAAAAAAAATATTATATATTAAAAAGCCTACCTCAGAATTCACAAAAAAAAAATTGCAAACACATTTACAAGTTTTTTACTAAATAAATACATTAAATAACATTTTTCATTATAAAAAATAATAAAATAATAAAATTTAATTGTACTTTTTAAAATGTAAAAAAGAAAAAAAAAACATTTTAAAAGAAAAATTCGAAGTTCAATTTTTTGCATTCCGTCTATTTTTTACATTAGTTTTTAATAATTTATTTATTTATTTTTAAATGTATATTTGTTTTATTACGCAATTGCTCGAATAATTTTGTATATAATAATTTTAAGTATAATTTATAAGTTAGTCGAAAATGTATATATTATTTTTAAGAAGTTTGGTTTGAAATTTTAATGTTAATGTTAATATTAAATGTTTTGAGTATGAAGTAGTAAAGTTTTTTATACTTTTGTTATTATTTAAAAAAAAAAAGCAAAATAAAACTTAAAAACATATAAGCAATAAATTAAATATATAAACACTAGAAGTAGTTCATATTTTTTTTTTTTTTGAATTTGGTATAACAGTTCACTTTGGATCTAAAACCTTATGGAATGGTGGTTCTCACCTAGTTATTGTTCTCGTGTTCAAGTTAGTAATACCAATTATTGTATTTGGAGTTCCTCACTTAAATCTTTAAGCTACTTACTTCATAGTCTACCTGTTCTTTTGATTTCCGTTACAGCATATGTTATGCATACAGTCATGGTCACAACAAATAATAAATTGTCGTCTTCAATGTAAATAAAACTTTGACATTGAGAACAAAACCATTATTATTAATAAATAATAAATAAATACTACAAACAAATATTTATTTATTTGTTATTATATTCAAATTCTATCAAATATTCATTGAGTTCGATTGATCGATATTTGATTATAATTATCTCACAAAGCAATGGGCTATATAGAATATAAATGGTAGGCAATCACATTAGCACTTTACAATTTCATACAAATCAGAGGTGATGAAGACAATTTTTCTCGAAATCCCTATCATTTGTGATGCATTAAATGAAAACACCCTATATACTATATATGATAGTCATATATGCTAGTCATGTCCAAATTCGCGTGAATTTTTTTCTAAGAAATTTTTTAATGTATTTCGAAGCCATTCATAAAGTGAATTAAAAATTTAAAAGAAAAATTTTTCGACATGACAAATTAAAATGTTTTATTTCTCAGCATTGAGCTAATTAAATTTAATCTATTACGTGAAATCGCTTGTACCATTATTAAATGAATACAGGGTGTATTGAACTAGAAAATAATACATCATGGCAGAAGGTAATTTACACCCTGGTACTAAAATAATATTCAAAATTGGAGTTAAAGTTTAGGAAAAAAAATAATGGAAATAACTTGAGAAGGAACCTAAAAATATAATACTAATATAATAACAATTAAACACATATACATATATGTATATATGTATAGGTTAAGTTAGCTTGTAGCGGCGGCTTTGTGCCCAAAAACACCCACTTAAGCACAAGTACATATATAGATTAACTGACAGTACACGACCAGTAGTCGCAAAAGGCAATGACTAACAACGACTAGCCGCAAAAGGTAAAGATTAACCAGCATGGCAGTTCTATAAACTTGTATTATCCCTAATGTTGCAGTATGACAGTTCGGTCGGTTAGAAAAGGGACCCCAAAGATTTTTGATCGTCTTCTAGTCAAAGGTGGGCACTGACACATGAAATGGAGCACAGTTTCCATCACATCCTCAGAACCACTGCCACGATAAAAGTCATTATGGAGTAAAGCCAGTCTCATGACATGCCTACCTATTATGCGGAGCAGGTTCTGCCTTAGTTGAAGTAACTGACTAGTAACATATGTGTAATGTTAAATATTGTTTTAGATCTACAATTCACTTCTATGTATTACAAATATTATATTATATAATTTCATATTATATTATAAAATATTATATACATATACATAACATATATATTATAGATAAAGAAAATATATTGTAAAATATATTTTATATATGTATTATACTATGCGCTCTTCTCCTACTCATCCTAATTATTTGGATAATTGAACCAAAAATAATTATTTATTGTTACAAAAAAATAATTAATATATTTTATTTAACTTTAAATAAATAAAAATTTATTATTATTTATTAAATAATAACACTAATATTAATAATAATTTATTTATAGAAAATTTTTTAAATTATTTTACTTATAAATTTCATTAAGCACCCTGTATGCATATAGTCAATTGAGCCACCGAATCACTTAAGTCGCTCATATTTTGATTAAAGTTTTGTTAGTTAGTGTTGATTTTCATTAGTAAACAACATTTTTTGTTTAGTATTGAATATTTCTGTTGACGAAATGTATCTCATTCCGATTACACTTATAATTTTTTGCAATTATATACTTTTCACAGCAAGTAAACGAAATAAAAACGGTTAATAATAAAATTTTGAATGCTTCTTCTTCTTACAGCTTGTTTTATATATGCAACCATCTCACTGGAGGGTAAAAAAACAATAAATAATTCATATCTGTTAATAAACTTCGGTCCAGAATGTATTCAAAAACCAGATTGGGTTGATGTTTTAAGCGAAGATCCATTTGTGACAAAAAATATGCCAATAATGCATATAACTGATATACAAAATAATACAAGCTTTGTGAAAGGTCCAGTATTGGGTAAACTGCTGTTTCCACCTGGTTGGAATAAATATGACAATGTTGCGCCTAAAATGTATTCAAAGGGATTTTGCTTACCGTACTACATAGCAAGTTATGCTGGCAACGAATTGCATACAGTCAACTGTCTGAGAATAGAACCTAATTGGATGTCAAGAGTTCCAGGTATTGCCGAATTACCGTTGAAAGATTTATTTATACCAGGTCAGTAAATAAATATATTGGTTTAAAAATTAAAAATTTCTAATATATAAATTATACTTTAATTGAAATAGGTACTCACGCTTCTGGTGCCTATCTGCAAAATCCAATCAATGATATAAAACTACCAGTGACCGATTACATAATCACCCAATATTTTGATGTGTGGTCTCAGTTACTGTTTGGTATACGGTATTTGGATTTAAGCATAGGGTAAGTGTATGGAGTTTATAACTTCTATATATATATATATATAATTTAGATTTTGGAAAGCCAATGGTTCTGTTTATGTTTCGTTTCTGGTATTCTATGTTAGGTTAGATTATACAAGCGATCCACTTAAGTCGATTAGCCCATTGTGCTACCAACATGTAAAACATAGGAGTCCAAAAATCACCTTAATCAATTATACCTAAGTTTAACCAAGTTCCAGTTCAAAACCAGTGCAACTCTGAAACAGTTTAGAGCCTTGGTATGAACACATGTCTAACACAGTAGAAATAACGAAAGTATCATTTGAGAAAAGACTATCATAAACAGCAAGAAGAAGAAGAAAAATATACACTCCAAATTGTGAATTCATCCGCTACAACTTCCTACTTAATAGAACAAAGCAAATGCAGCTTAACTTCTTTAATTGAATGGCATGCAAGTGAAATAGCTCAAGGTAGAGGAAAACGAAAAAGCCGATAAACTGACTTAACGAAAATCTGCAAACCACGTAGCTCTTGTAAAACCGGTAATCACAACACCTAATAAACTGCTTATTTATATCAAATATCCTAAGTGTAATATCATAGATAAAAAAAATCTTTCAATATTTGCAACGAGTAGGTCACGATGGCTTAATTACAGTCTCAAGTCAACACTATCGCTGAAAAGCTAAAATAGAAGGGATCTCTGTAAATTGACGATAGTTATTATAGACTTCTAAAATTACCGAAATCCCTCCCGGTATTTACGACAACAGTGGAAAACAAATAAAGAAAATAGAAACTATTTTCTATTTTCACAGTACACGTACTGCTCTTTGGAGGCAGGCAGTAGCCTGTCTAAGTAAATTTCACAGACTAAATCGAAAACAGACTGTCTATACTTACACCCAGACAATCAATAGGTAATAAGGATGTGGCAACAAAACGGCGTAAATTGCTCATTAGACTCATAAGTCACCAAATAAACCCACCAACCTAACTTTGATAACCCATATTGATATATTCCAACTATGAATAAATTAAGTGAATAAATAAATTCAATCACTCTTTTTAAGGTTATTATTAGATATTAATATTTATATTAATATAAATTATTAACATTAAGGATTACTATTATTTAATATGTCATTTATACATATGAATAATATCCAATTGCTGTTGTTGCTGATCTACGGTCCGTCATCAGTTAGAAAATAAATAAATGATAATGATTCTAGTATAGTTAAAATTTAGTGTGGGGCAGGAATAAGCCCCCCAGCCACAATAGAGTAAAAGTGCGCAATAGCACTAACTCAAATCACAACAACAACAACAACAACAACAACATATATCCATATATATTGTATTATTGTATAAATTATAATTCCAATTTCCTTAAAGGTATAAAGTGCTTGAAAAAACAAATTCATCAATATCTGAAGAGTTTTGGATAGTGAATGAGAATATGTATGTTCGTCCTTTAAGAGATGTATTAAACGATGTGAGGAAATTTGTCAAACTATCTGGAGAAGTTGTAATACTGGATTTTAGTTCCTTTCCAATTGGTAAGTTTTTATTATCTATATAGAATAATCATTTCTGTAGCTATAATGATTATATATGTTATATACCATAACTATATATATTCAACTATGATTAAACAATTTCATAAGAACACAAATAACGGTTACTATATTTAAATGTCGATTTTTCATTAGTATAAAAAAATTTAGAGTAAAATAAGAAAGCTAATCATTTCTTCTAGATAATATTTTAAATAGTTGATAAACTCACACGTGATATACATGTTAATATTTAGTGAAAAATATTAGATTTCTATACAATAGGAACTAATTTTATATATACATATAATTTTATATATTTATATATATACATTAGGACCCTCTAGGATGAAAACAAATTAAGACAAACGATGAGTTCTTATTGATAGTTTTAATGTAAAAATATCTAAATTTTAAGCCCGATATTTTGAATATTTGAAATATATCTAATATATGTTATATATATTTAAAAACTAAGTAAACAAGCTTTGTTTTCACTATGTCATTTTAAATGACATTTATAATTGACTGGTGTGACAAATGCGTTTTCATTACATGACAAGAATGCGAATATGACGTCATATGACTACCCGTTTTCATTAAACTGCCAATATTTGACATTAAAAATGACATAGTGAAAACGAGGATTTAATCGCCTTTTTTAAAGCTGATACAATAAATTTCGATGAATAGTACATATATTGTTATTTATTAACTAATTCCCGATTCTTTTTTGGAATAATAGTATAGCGTAGTGGAAAATATTTTGAAAAATTTGTTGTCCAATCGACATGCCCAGAAAATCGAAATCGTGCCAAATTATAAAATTGAATGACATAGAATATATTTAACCGAATATTAGATTTAATAACGAAACTGACACTAATAATAATGTTGAGTTGCTAGTATGCAGCAGATCATGCAAAGTATTACTTAGCAATATCTTTAATTGTTAGATAAGAGAAGACAATCTCGATACCGAAAATAGATTGCTAGTGAAGAAATGTAGGTTGGAACTTTTGAATAAAATGTTCAACCATAAGAAAGTGCAAACGCAAATAACAAATTTTGTGAATTAATTAATTAATAATAAAAGCTTCATATAATTATTACATTTTTTTAAATAAACATCAAATTTATGTAAAAATAACAAATATGCAAAATTAAAATGTTTATGAATATTTTATGTATTTAGTTATTAAACATTACTCTTATATAAACCGCTTTTCTAGTAAATTTAGCAAAAGAAAAACTAAAAAAAATTAATTTAGTAATAATTTTTTTATAAATTTTCTTTGAGTTAGTTTATATATTTGAGCGCATACTGTACATGCATCTATAAAATAATAATAAATAAAACATCGTCGTCATTAAAGATTAATTTTTGAATATTTCCTTAACTACAAGTTAAAGAAAAAGGCTTAGAAAATAACTACTTTATTAAATTATTTAAATAAATTTTTAATTTGTATCATCAATATATTAATGTCATCTTTTTTAACATTTTAATTATTATATAGATTTAAATAAATTTTTCAATATTTGTCACTTACCAGACAGTGAAATCCAATGTTTATCAAAGAGAACAGTTACACGCGTACTAACGGCACAAATATTTTTATATCTATGTAGACTATAAACACTTAAATATTTACGCGAAGTACGGCTTTCACAAATTAATTTAAAAATAAAACTAAATAATATATATACCAATTATTTTATATATATTAAATCACTTGATTTTAAATATATTAATTAAATATTTCATCTCCGCAAATGGTATTAATGTTAAAAATGAAAACACTACACAGACTCCACAATTTTAATAAAATTTTAATAGATTTTAAGCACAATTTATGATAAACAATTTACTTAATAACATTTTAAATTATTCATAATAAATATTTAAAAATGAATGCAACCCGCAAATTAAAATAACACCACCGATATCCCGAAACATGTGTTCGCTTTAATACTCGCAAATTTCAACTAAATTTTCAATTTTCTTAACAAATTTTTTACGATCTAACAAAACTATACTAATTATAACGGTTCTGAGACAAACACATAACTGAACTTTTGTTGTGCTTTTATGTTTATACTAAAGTATAAATGCCTACAAAAGCCACCATATAAACAACAATTATTGAATGCTTATACCAAATACACGTAGTATAGCGTGGTGGTGTATAAATTTCTATTAATATTATAACAACAAAATATAAACAACAATTATTGAATGCTTATACCAAATACACGTAGTAAAGCGTGGTGGTGTATAAATTTCTATTAATATTATAACAACAAAATATAAACAACAATTATTGAATGCTTATACCAAATACACGTAGTAAAGCGTGGTGGTGTATAAATTTCTATTAATATTATAACAACAAAATATATAGCATCAAGATAGCTTGAATTGTGTTGATTTGCTCAAGAAAATTGTTGTTACGAACTTCTTAAAACTTCACTTTGAAATAAAAAAACATAGAAAATAAACATTTTATTATATTTATTATCTATGGCAGAGCTTAGCACAGACACAGTGACAATAACGTTTATTTTTTACGGTCTTAATTTATACGATCTTCATTTATATGATCTATATTACGTATTTTTTTTAATACGATATTAACTCAAAAGTTTACTTGCCTTAATATTCATTTAAAAAATAAGATAATCAATAACTTTGCTTCACTGGAATTTATATGCTTGTATTACAATATATTGTGAGTTCTTTGTATAAAGTAACCAAATAAAAATATTGTTTACTTTCTTCAATTGAAGGCCCGATTCTTGATTCATCCATAATATTTGGATAACGATAATTCAGCATTTTCTATAATGTTATTTAATCATTATAATCACACATGCTATATTTACCAAACAACTCTTATTCTCTTATGTTGTGTCAGCTTTGATAGTGTTAAACTGGTCGTAGACGTCTTTTCTAACATGGTAGCAGGCCCCGTCAGTTTTAGGGTGGGGCTCATGGCAACTAGTTACCACAACTGATATCAAACAAAACAAAAATGCAAAATTATGCCATTAACAACTATTCACCTATATAGATTGTGCTCTCTCTCTCTCTGCTAAACAAATTTCTATTCTGTCAGTCGGTTTGAGTCTACATTCCCTAAAACTACCTATGAATCGTGCTGGTTGTTAAAACTAAAATAGATGTAAAGTTAATAAAGAAGTTACAGCCTTGTTAGATGCCAGGAGGATGGCAAATTGTATAGGTAGGGATGCATTGAAATTCCTAAAAAAACGAGTGAGGTGTATTTACAACCTCCTCCTAAAATATTTAGTTTTACACTACATATTATGAATTTTTTTCAAATGTGTTTGATTGTATAAAATAGGTCTACGCATAGACCCCTGTTGTATCTGATGAGATATTTTACTCAAGAGCTTTTAGCGTTTAACTCTGACCTTTTTTATTTGAGTTATTAAATCAATTTTTTAGTTGATAATTCAGAATTTTGGGTTCGATAGTCCGGTTGGCGATTTTTTGAAATCTCACCAAATAGACAACATTGCCTCTTTTCTATGAATATCATCATCTTTTTTCATTCATCTTTTCATCTTTTTTAGTCCATGCTCTTTTTCTCGTCGAAGAATTCCCACTGAGAATTTTCTTAAAAATTAATTATTTTTTTGACCTTTGAGCATCAAATCACAGACGTTAATGCGAGATTCCATTTTTTTCTTTAATATGATGCGAAACCAATCAATCGTAAACTGTCAAATTTAGTTTCTCAAAGCATGGAACTGAAAACTTCTGCGGTTATATATTTTATCTTTATCAGCTTCCAGAATATGGAAACTAACAAAATTCCCTGAAAAAAATGTTGTAGACCAGTTTTAATTGGAAAGTAGAAGAATCCACGTTGAATCCAATATATAATACCTGATATTCATATCACCAAAGTTTGTACCATTAGTTGTATTAGATACAGGTTTTTTATAAATATATTTTTTATAATAATTAAAGCTTAAGAAAAAGAATTTATTTTATGTAAATATGTGTATTCATTTAAATATTTTAAGGTTTCTTTGGTTATAATCAACGCCATATAAAGTTACTAGAAATGATATCGAACGAAATCGGTGACATTATCTATAATAGGGAAGATGTCAATATTCCTTGCTATAATTTAACTATAAATGACATCAAAAAAACTAAGAAATACTTATTAGTTATTTATCCATTAGAGGAACTTCCACATCCAGAAAATGGTAAAAAAAACAAACTTTGACATTTAAGAGAGTAACAACAATTAAAATAAACAATCTAAAATTTTATTTAGAGATAAACATGTATTGTCCATCTTGGAAACGTTTTTCTATTGGATTTATGAACAATTCCCAAGCATTAGATTATATGCGTTTCTTATTCAGCAAGAAGAAAGATTCGCCGATACAAAATGAGGGTTGGATATTTCAAGGAGTTACAAGCATGGAGCAATCGCTAGTTAGATATATGAATACTTATGTTAATACTGATTTGCATATTGTATACGACAGATTTTATTTTACAGAATACTGATGTATTGCAAACACCTAAAGAACGTGCCAAAACTTTAAATACCGATATAACAAATTGGTTAAGTGGACCTTGGGGCTTAAATGCAAATATTGTTACAATGGACTATGTTAGTTATACAAATCTAATACACATCGCTATATATGCCAATATTCAACGTGCATACATGGTTCAGTATAAGGATTATGTGCAACTGGTAATGGATGATAGAAATGTTACCGAAAAATTTTAATTATATTTTTATAGTATAATAAAAACAATAAAAATATACGTATTGCATAATATTTATATTTTATTTCTTTAGAACTTTTCATTAGTAAGATAATCTATTAAAAATAATTACAATATATTTATATATATATTGAAGAAAAGTCTTCAATGATGGAACTGTGCAGATGATTTTGTTATTCATGGATACAGCAGGATATAATAAAAGCCGATAATAAATACTTTATAATTGTATATAAATAGTATTGTGTCCTACTTTTAACATACTTTATATAACATATTTTAAACGACCAGTTTCGACTAACTAGTCGTTGTGGAAATTATCTTTCTAATATATGTCATGTTTTATAGTCTATTTCCAAATTTTTTTTTAGAGCTTCAAAAATTAAATCTAAACATACAGACACACTGATAGACACGCCTACTGACTACCAAAAGAAGTAGACGAGATCTAACCATCAAGCTCATTAGATATATACATATGTGAGCAGCGCCGTCGAGAATTTTGGGAGGTGGACCACGTTAAGATGTAAGCATAGATATTTAATAATGTATGAAAAAATTTATATAAAAGTTATCATGTTTATGGAGTCCCAGTGTAATGAAGTAGAGAAATTTCGTGCACCTAGAGATTAAGTGAGCATTAATTTTTTAGAATGCTACATATATAACAGTTTTTTCAACTAGCCGTTCTAGCTCGTGGTTGTATCTTTTGCGATACATGCCGTTTTCTTTCACGGAGAAGGCCTCATTAGTTTATTAATAATACTTTAGATAGTATTTGTTTCACAGCATTAGACTCATTAATGCAATAATTTAAATAAATATAATTGAATCTGTAGTCATAGTTCTAAAGATACATATATATACAGAACATAAATAAAGAGATTGATTGAAGCGCAGTAAATTGAAATTTTACAGAAATTTATTCTAATTATTACACATATTTTATCGTGACTTACTGTAATTCTATTTTACAAATTTTATAAATTATTAGTCCAGTAAAATCGGTAGGAAGTTAGAAAATTTTACTACTAACAAAGACACAAAACTGTGCGGTTGGTATAAAAACATTTTTGCAATAAACAAAAAAAAAATTTATTTAAGAATAGAAAAAATAAATAATTTTTAACCCAGTTTTGCTACTTAAATTGTTTTAGTAATATAAGTAAATAATTAAATAATAATAAATGATTTACAATACGATCTTTTTTACATAAAAAAAAGTACATTTAATTTAATTGGAATATAACTAAATTTGTTTAATTTAATTTATTTTATTTTATTAAAAATTTATTATATATTTTTTACATAAAAGTTGTATAAAAACAGTTGTTAAATGTTAATATTGTCTTCGGAATTTTTGCACTTTTATTATAAATTGCTACTTATTCGAATTTTTCATATAAAAAGACTTACGAGTTCTTACTAAATCATTCAGTTCTGATTATTATCACAATCATTAACTAACTATCCATAAAATGAGATTCACTTTAGTCTTCGTCCTTTTACTCGTCGTCATCGTTGCCTGTACACAGGCTCAGAACTGTCGTGGCAAGCCAAGTAAGTAAATTTATTCTAAAACCAAATATTAAATAAAACATATAAAATAAAAAAAATTTATTGAAAATCAATATATGAGTTTGTATATATAAAATAATAATAATAAACATAAATATAAAATGAACTCGAACTTTTTTAGGACGCCTCCAATGTAGAGGTCCCAAAAATGAAGGACGTGGAGGACGTGGTTGCAGCCGTAACGCAAACCGTAGTATGTGGTACTACAACACACGTTCCAGAAGATGTGAAGAAATGCGTTACTTGGGCTGTGCAGGAAATAACAATCGGTTCTGTACTAGAAACGAATGCCAACGCAGATGTACTCGTAGCGGTTAAGGATTGAGAAAAAATGAAAAACTGATTGTACAAATTGCGACAAACTAAAATTTATAAATAAATAATTTAAAAAAAAATATTGTCTTTTTATTTAATTAAATTCTCTTCAAAATTTAATTTCTTTATAATAATTACTTATAAATAACGAATGGAGATATTTTCTGTTAAAATAATATCTATATATGGAGCACATTTCTGTATATTTTTATAACTTAACCTTTTACTGTGCTTTAAAAAGTGGCAGATATTTTATTGAACTTACAAAACTTTATTATTATTTGAAATTATTACAAATTGTTTACGAAGAATCAATAAATTTTTTTTTTTGTATTATCTTAAATAATTGAAGTATGGAACTTTCTCAGCTCAGTATAATACGTCTAGTATCAGTATCAAACATCATTTCACAAGACTATACGACCACATCACTTAGCGAATATAGATATAGCCATAAATACCATAGAAAAATCTCTCCGAAAAATTTGAGACAATGTATATATCATAGCATTCTATATATTTAGGTGTAATTGCAGAAATTAGAATATACATCTTACATTTTTTAAGTTGAAAAAAATTAAAACTTTGCATAAAGTTAATCGAAAATATTTCCTTGCAATTATTATAATATTACTTTTATTTACATGTATATGAAATTCTATTATAATCCATCATAATATTAACTGAAAAGGTGTACGTATTTGAACCCGCTCTACTACTTTATAAGAAATTGATGCAAGTCATATTTTTATAATTTAATTCAGGGCTGTCCAAAGTACGCCCCACAGGCCACATGCAGCCCGCGGCTAATGTTTGTGCTGCCCACGACATGTTTTTAATCTACTACAATTACGCAAATTTATTTTTAATTTTTTAGGTTATAAATTCAAATTGATAAATTAATAAAACTAAACTTAACATTATAATCGTATTTTTATTTTTATCAAAAACAACTATGAAAGTATGTGTTTGTATTGGCCCGCGATCGCATCTGGTGTAAACAGCCCTGCTTTAAATAAATAAATATTATATATTATAAATCACATTTTTCGAACTTAATATTATATTATATTATATTATGTATTATGTTGCTGTATTCATTATTTATTGTATTTATTATAAACTAGAACTCAGAAAAGTTTATCAGTGTTTTCCTTATTTATTAGGTTATTAATTTTAGGCAATATCAAAGCATCATGTTAACTACGTACTAATTATACCTATAATTACTTTAAAATAAATAAAATTGAAGGTTTTATATCATCAAAAATATCAAACTTTAATGTTAACTTCAATTTAAGCATCTTAGTTTTTTAAATAATATGTTAACAGATATGTGAGCAAATATTATATATATTAGCAAAAAAAGCTAATCCTTTGAAACCAATAAGAAAATATGAAGACGTCCAAGTATCTCTCTCGCATGGAAATTAAATTACTCGAAACCAATATTAAACTATTACATGGAAATGAGAAGCAGAATATAACCACGATTAGCACCTATCGTTTCAATACTACCACATCTAACAACTATTCTTTCGACAAACCATACAAAAATCCAAGGTATACTTTAGGGACCACAAAGTTTAAGAATAATAAACTCTATGATTATTCTAATATGCTTTATGTATTTCTGGTTTAATGTATAATGGATTGTATAAGTGCATATGTACATTATATATGCTATAAAATAGGTATATAATTACATGAAAATTTTTTGTGCTTATTTTCTAATAAGTGAGGTTTCAGTAGATAAACTACAAACTATGTGGCGTAACTGTTAAACTGGTTTCACGAACCATTTTTAACTAACTCGCAGACCACCGGTTGGGAACCACAGTTTTAGAGGTATAAATACTTTTAAATGTAAGACACTTGATCTTATTAAATGCAGCCCTGATAAAGGCAACATTAAAAAATTACTAGATTAAGGTTGAAAATGTAGCAGAAGACCTGGATTGCCATGCATCAGATAAACGAATCAAATTGAAGCTTCTTTGGGAAAAACCGGAATAAAGTTAATCGAAGAAACTTAAATGAGTAAATATTATTGTTATAATATAGAATATTATAACATAACCTCATATACTTATCTGATTTTACAAATATTTATAAAAATATTTATATAATATATATATTATCAATCAATATCAATTAATGAAAATAATATAAAAAGAATATTTGTTCTTGTAGTTCACTATTTTGCAAAATCTCACCATAATATATAATATAAAAATATATAATATTTATGTAACAATTGTGGTAAGTGAAAAATAACAATAGATCTAAGTTTATTGTATTCTCATTGTTATATTTTATTTCTTACACAAATAAAAAACTTGAGATATGTCAGACGATATATATATATATACTACGATATATATATATATACTACGATATATATATATATACTACGATATATATATATATACTACGATATATATTATATATAATAATATAATGAGAATTCAGTTTTGCTTGAATCTTAAAAACGACTAGAGCAACTAGAGAACATATTAAATTGATCATAAAACATTATTAATAATATATAAATAAATGGTTTTAACAATATATATATATATATATATCATCATCAGTTAAGAAAGTTGTTTTTTCTTTTTATTTAACCATAAAAAAATTTTAAATAAAACAGTTGTAAAATTTCTACATTGTTTTGCAGCTGTAACGTAGCTAGGATTGTGCCAAGGGGGAAAGATATTTTTTTGACAATATTTTTGCAGCTTATATATAGACTATATTGTCAAGGGGAATCTGTCCTCTTATCTCTCCTAGGTACGCCACTATTTTGCAGTTTCTACATGATATGTATATAAGCCCTAATTATATCGCAGCCGATATTTTTATATAAAACTCCAAACATATACTTACTAAATTTACAGTTCTGGCTATTATCACAATCAGATAGTTAATACTTAAAAATGAGGTTATCTTTGCTCTTTGTCTTCTTGCTCGTCGTAATGATTGCCTTCGCACGAGCCGAAAACTGCCGTGGCAAGCAAAGTAAGTCTAATAATTTGGAAATAAATGTTTAATATTTTTAAATGTAAACTTCTTTCAGGAGATAATATTGGTTTTCAATGCAGAGGAGGTAAAAATGAAGGACGAGGAGGACGTGGATGTAGCCGAAATGCAAACCGTCGTATGTGGTACTACAATCGGGTTTCAGGAAGATGTGAACCAATGCGATACTTGGGCTGTGGAGGCAACAACAATCGCTATTGTAGCAAAATCCGATGCGAAAACAGATGTATCCGCAGGAATTGAAGTATTGAAAGCAAATATTGACTAGTACAATACATACTATACTACTCGTAACAACATAGTTACAAAATTTAAGAAACTGAAAATATTACAGTATATATTATAATAAAATTGATTATACAATAATTTATTGACTTCAATTAGTTTAAGTTTACGGAGCTTTTTTTATTAACAAACAGTTTTATTATTTTCAGCGGAGTATCTTATACCTCACTATTAGCATTAGCATAATTTTCGTTACTAGGTAAATAAAACTCAAAACGCATAAAATCTGTATAAACTAGAAAAATTTCCACCCATCAAAAAAATGTAATCAGAAAATAAGTACTACAGTAGCTAAATCCCCAAATACGAATAATAAGCGTAAGTTTTGGTGATCCAGTGGAGTGATAAGACTGGACAGGAAGAAACGCAGCTTTATTTTAAGTAGTACTAAACTCAGTCCAATTGGCACAAAACTACAAGTAATCCATTCCCGCTGAAAATGTGGTGCAAAGAAAGCAAGAAATAGCGGTTACATGCATATTTCAGATGAAAGATTATCTTGTATATTCTTTTTTATATATTCTCTCTTATCTTTTTTATCTGAAAATAAAGGAAACCGTAGCAACCTAGCAGAAAGCTAGGTAGGACATCTAAAACTTAAAAAAATATTTTTTAAAGAGTAAATAAGAAGACAATCTTGGACTGTATAATCTGGAGACACCGCATAAAGACAACCAATTCCAAGTAGTATAAGGGTAAGGAAAACGAACAGAAAACGAGAAGATATATAACTAAAGCATAACATCGAAATATAAATTTTTGACTTAAATAATTTTATTGATTTCACATGGTCAATTTAATATATTATAATGTGTGCACATTTATTTAATTTACTATAGTAAAAAAAATTAATTGTTACTTATTAAATATATATAAGTTAAATAAATTAAGTCATGTTTTAAATTTAATTTAATTTCAAAAATATTTTATGCAGTAACTGTTTTAAACTTGAATATTACTATTCATAAAATGCCTTTGTTGCTGTCGAATTACCTGATAATGTATATAAATAAATAAATTTATAATACTTCATTTATTGGAAACATGTCTTCAAGAATAACACTTGTTTTTATCGCAATGAGTTTATTTTCCTTTACGAACACTCAAAAGTATTGTGGTGGGGAACTACGTAAGAGAAAAACTCTATGGTTTAATATTTTCGACACAAAAAAATATAAGATCTATTTTCATTTTAGTTCGTCCTGCTTGCACTGGTGCAAAAGATTCGGGACACGGAGGATTGATATGTTTTCTAAATGCAAATAAGAAGATGTGGTACTGGAATGGCCGAACTAATAAATGCGAAGAAATGTCCTATAAAGGATGTGGTGGTAACAAAAATCGGTACTGTACTTTGAAAACTTGCGAGAAAAAATGTAAACAAAAACAAATTTTGACTGTTTAGTTAATTACAAATAATAATAATAAAAATGAAAACTATAAATGATTCTTTTTTTGTTTTTAATGTTTTGGGATTATTAAAACTTTATTCTAAGAATTGTAAAAATTAATCTATATACGTCACTCACTACTTTCGTACCATACTTTCACTGCTTTTTTCGTTGTTTCATTAAATAAATGAAAACAATTGTTAAAGACACATACCAATTTAGATGATGCAAACTTCAATCTCTTAATTGAATTTAAGTTTACTATAATTATTTTAGCTCCTTCTCTCTCTCTCTCTCCCTCTCGCTCTCTCGCTCTCTTTCTCTCGCTCTCTCTCGCTCTCTTTCTCTCGCTCTCTCTCTCTCTTTCTCCCCATACCAGAAGTAGCTGTTAGGCATGGAAAACGACTACTTAATCAAAAAAGAACGAGAAATTAAAAAAAAACGCAAAATTTTAATTTTTAATAATTTTCTTCAAAGTATTCAAAGCCTTCAAAGTACTCTCCTTCTGCGGCAATACATGCATGCCAACGCTTGACCCAATTTTCCATACAAGTTTTTTAGGCCGCCGAAGGTATGGTCTTTAGTTCACGCAGCGAATTCTCTTTTATGGCGAATTCTCTATGGTCTCAAAACGCGTCTATGGTCCTCGCAATGGCAATTTGAGTCGGGGGAAGACGACCATATCTGGGTCACACGGGGCCATATCTGAAGAGTACGGTGTTTGGTTGCGACACAACCAACGCTATGTGAGCCGGTGCGTTATCGTGGTGTAAAATATATGAGTTTTCCTTCCATAAATCTGGCCTCTTTTTGCGAATGACCTCACGCAAGCGACACGCAACAGCCAAATAAAACTTCTTATTGACCGTTTGACCATTTGACCGTCCGGAAGGAATTCATAGTGCACCACCCACGAATATCGAAGAAAACAGTCAGCATAACCTTCATTTTGGACTGACTTTGGCGTTCGCTTTTCGGTTTCGACTCACCTGCAAAGCACCATTCGGTCAATTGTTGTTTGGTGGGCATGTCAAATTCATAGACCCATGTCTCATCACCAGTTATGATTATAATATTACCACAGTTATTAATTAGATCCTCTTAAAAAATCCAAAATGCTCTTAAGGATCAAGCGATTATATTACTCTGAACTACACATTGCTTAATCAGATCGTTGTCGTATCATATTGCTTCATCAGTTTTCACAGATTCTATATTAGACAATGAGAGATTTTGATTATCGCATCACTTTATCTAATCACTTTATATAAGGTATAAATAGATAGGTTATTTGTTGCACGTTTTTATGAGAACTATTTATACTAGAATATAGAATATAAGAATAATATAATATATATATATTATATCTATATTATCTATATTCTATATTAGAATATAGAATAAGAATATAATAGAATATAGAAATATTTTACTTATTCAAAAAATTTTTTTATCAGTACTTTAGAATTTATCTTAACGACTGGGTTAAGTTAAATTTCATCATCAAAGCAGGGATGTTTTTTATTTCATTATTTTTAAATTATATTATGAAAAAATTAATATACAAGAAAATTCAATTAAAAAATAACACAATAATATTTTTTTAAATTATTTATTTATAAATTTTAGTGTGTCGCAATTTGTACAATCAGTTTTTCATTTTTTCTCAATCCTTAACCGCTACGAGTACATCTGCGTTGGCATTCGTTTCTAGTACAGAACCGATTGTTATTTCCTGCACAGCCCAAGTAACGCATTTCTTCACATCTTCTGGAACGTGTGTTGTAGTACCACATACGAGGGTTTGCGTTACGGTTGCAACCACGTCCTCCACGTCCTTCATTTTTGGGACCTCTACATTGGAGGCGTCCTAAAAAAGTTCGAGTTCATTTTATATTTATGTTTATTATTATTATTTTATATATACAAACTCATATATTGATTTTCAATAAATTTTTTTTATTTTATATGTTTTATTTAATATTTGGTTTTAGAATAAATTTACTTACTTGGCTTGCCACGACAGTTCTGAGCCTGTGTACAGGCAACGATGACGACGAGTAAAAGGACGAAGACTAAAGTGAATCTCATTTTATGGATAGTTAGTTAATGATTGTGATAATAATCAGAACTGAATGATTTAGTAAGAACTCGTAAGTCTTTTTATATGAAAAATTTGAATAAGTAGCAATTTATAATAAAAGTGAAAAAATTCCGAAGACAATATTAACATTTAACAACTTTTATAACCATTGATCAAAAAATATTATCTTTTTAAATAAAATAAATAAATATAAACAATAAGATATTTTATTTATAAATAATATGAATTAATTATAAAAGAGATCTGTAATTCATAAACATATGGTACGTGTTTATGGACTTGTGAATATATGTTGTCAATTATCAGTCAAGACATTTTTTTAATGTGATTGTTTTCCCAAATTTAAAAATTGATGTTAAATTTAATGACTTGGCCATAGAAAAACAACATATGATCTAATTAAAGGAAAACTACAACACAAATCGGATGTATAACCGATCAAAAAAAAACATTTGTTTTTTGATTGGGTAAATTAAATAAACCTATTAAGTATGTTACGTTCCGGCTGAATTAGTTGGATGATTTAAAAAAAAATTAAATATTTTATACCTTGTCCAAGGCTTTAACCAGAAAGATGCAGTAAGGTTTTAAATAATTTCAGTTATTCGCACAAAAATTATTAAATAGTCTCTAATTGTTATTAAATACAGTTCCATAACTCGAACTTCTATAACTCGAATTTTCTATAACTCGAACCAAAAACAGTGCACCAAGGTTTTAGACAGCAAATTACATACAATTCTGCTTCCATAACTCGAACTTCTATAACTCGAATTTCTCTATAACTCGAATAAAAATTTTTTCAAGTAACGATAGGGATATGGGGAAAGTGCATTCTATAAGTCGAGTTTTTGTTTTAAGTATAAATGCATTTTGGTGTTAGGGGAAGTCCCTTTTTTCAAATCAAATGTTTAAACGTGGTTTAAAGTAAATAAAAAAATTTTTAATGCTACTCTTAACGATTATATTGAGCTTGACAATGAAATTTGTACATCAAGTTTTTTTAGAGATGACGATATTATTGAGTACTATAGCTCTAAATTACTGGATCCAATTCTAAGTGCAACGGAAAGTGATGATGAGGATTCGGTGGAAGTGATTGTTCATCAGCCTTCCAAGAATGAAGTAGAAGACTCATTTAAAATTCTGAATTTTTATTTGCAAACGAATGATACTACAACTGATGATCACTATAAAAGTTTGAATAAAGTGGAATCTCTTTTTACTGAAAATAAATAAAAAAATTAAAATTCCGAACCATAATTTCTGAATATATTACTTCACTATAACCACCAACTATGAGCCTTATGTCCTTAATTTATTCACCAATTAAATACCAAATGTTAATTTTAAGGGACATTTCTTTTTGTCGAATATGAAACGTCTTATGACGAAAAGAAAACTAGAAGGGTTTGAAAAAAAATGAAGAAACAACAACTACAAAAATTGCATTAATTTGATTTTTAATTTGCTGATAAAAATAATAAATATTCATTTCATTTTTCATTGTTCAACCTACACGGTTAATATAAATATAACATATGAGGCATAGTTGACTTCTTAATAATACAAAAACTTTTTAGAATTGAATACCTATATTATTTTGTAGTTCTTAACTTGGAATCATATTTAAAATTACAAGCTTTCTATAAAATTTAAAATATTTAAAAAAATAATTTCGATGTTTTGGTTTTATACTGTAAGTGAAAAAAAAGCCGACTTGGCCATCGTATAATACTGTGGCGACCCAGTTGGCTGTGCATTTATTGAATTTAAAAAGTAAAATTCAATTTCAAATATTTTTAAGTTTTTTGTTTTGATTGATGAGAACGTTTCGATTTTTCTCTCTGTAAAAAGTTGAATAAAAGTTTATTAACATTGAAAATTTTTAGAGTTTTATTAATTAGCAAGGTGAACAGATCATTGCTAAATTGGTGACCCCGACGTGATTTCGAAAAAGTTTAAATTTAGAAATATTAACTTCTGAGCTAAATATCTAATTATCGAGCTGTGATGTCAGTTGCAGACGAAGGTGTAGTAATGGCTTCTGATAGTGGAAGTGTCGTAAACCGTGTAGCAGTGAAGGTGCCACCGTTTTGGCACGAGCGACCGGAGATTTGGTTTGCTCAGATCGAGGCGCAATTCGCAGTAGCTGCCATTACGAGTGACATCACACAGTTCAACACGGTAGTAGCAGCGATTGAGTCAAGTGTTATCGCCGATGTAAGTGATGCAGTGCTTCATCCTCCTGAAACTGGAAGATACGCTAATTTAAAGGCTTGCATCATAGAGCGGTACAGTGAGAGCGAGCAGCGGAAGATTCAACGGTTGTTGTCAGAAGTTGAACTTGGTGATAGACGCCCAACACAGTTGCTAACGGAGTTGACAGCGTTAGCTAAAGACAAGGTGAGCGATGAGTTCCTTAAGTCTCTTTGGCTGAAGCGTTTGCCACCACAAGTGCGCGCTATTCTGCAGGCATCGAACGTGGCACTAGCAGAACTGGCGAAATTAGCAGATCGTATTTGCGAGGCGGGTGATTTTCAACAGATAGCTGTAGCGTCAGCCTCTGATTGTCCAGCCTATTCTGAGAATGCTGTGATTTTACGAAGGCTTGAGCAAATCGAACAGCGTCTGAGTCGTTTGGATTTACGTCGTAGTGAGTCGGTGCAAAGTCGATCGTCATCGAGGAGGCGTAGGCGAACTCGTTCCCGACCAGGAAGTCATCCAGATTGGTGCTGGTATCACGAAAGGTTTGGTGATAGAGCTAATGCTTGTCGGCAGCCCTGTAGTTTTGTGGCAAGCTCTCATCAGTCAAAAAACTAGGCACTCCTTCTACGTCGTCGAGCCGAGAAGGGGTTAGTGTTCGTATAGCTCGACTTAGTATTAAAGATCCCGCCACGTCGACCGTTTTTCTCATTGATACTGGTGCGGACATATCAGTTTTACCGAAGTCGTTCTGTCGTTGGAAGCAAAGGGCTAACAGTGTTGCATCAGTTAATTTATATGCCGCTAATGGTACGCCTATTCAAACATTTGGCGAGCGTCGACTGCTTTTGTCTTTGGGTTTGCGTAGAGATTTCCCGTGGACGTTCGTGATTGCGGATGTTAGCTGTCCTATTGTTGGAGCCGACTTCCTTAATCACTATGACTTGTTAGTGGATTTGAAAAGGAAGCGGTTAGTTGATTCGAAGACGACTTTGATGATGAAGGGTAAGGCTGCTGTGTCTCAAGAAGATACTGTGCGTGTGTGTGGTTCAGTTTCAGCTTATGCTGAGCTGGTTAATGAATACCGTGATTTAGGCATTATGAGTGCAAATCGGATGGGTTTAGTTACTAAGGTTGAACATTGCATCGAGACATTTGGTGCGCCGTCATTTGCTCGTCCCCGACGTTTAGTTGGAGCCAAACTTGAAGAAGCCAAGAAGGAATTCCAATTTTTAGTCCAGACAGGGATTTGTCAACCTTCGAAAAGCTGTTGGGCAAGTCCACTTCACATGGTTCGCAAAGGCGATGGAAGTTGGAGACCGTGTGGCGATTATTAATTGTAAGCACGTTTTTCTTCGAGTGGATCGTGCTCGAAGCTCCACTTGAGCAGCCTTAGGAAAAGGTCCATTTGAGGTGCTGAGTCGTAATGAGAAGACGTCTGTTATTGTTTGCCGTGGGAGAGAGGTGACTGTTTCGAATGATAGGTTGAAGGCGGCGTACTTAACGTGTGATGATCTTGAACAGGTTGTTCCAGAAACGCGTCAGCCTTCAGCGTTGTTGAATGGTGATCAGTTAGTGACTTCTGGTGATTGTAGTCGTGAATCCCTGTTGCCGATTCCGAAAGTGACACGAGCTGGTAGAGTAGTGCGTTTCCCAGCAAGGTTAGCGGAATTTCGGGATTAAGAGTGGTGTTGTCGACTTAGTTGTGGTGTCGCGTTGTTGCTAGTACTCCATCGCTAGGAGGGGGTACTGTGGCGACCCAGTTGGCTGTGCATTTATTGAATTTAAAAAGTAAAATTCAATTTCAAATATTTTTAAGTTTTTTGTTTTTGATTGAGGAGAACGTTCCGATTTTTCTCTCTGTAAAAAGTTGAATAAAAGTTTATTAACATTGAAAATTTTTAGAGTTTTATTAATTAGCAAGGTGAACAGATCATTGCTAAAATACCATTTTACCATGTCTAGGCAACTCATTAATAGGGATCATGTCCATACTGCTATGCTCATTGCACTTCTTTCAGGTCACTGATGTATTAGGTCTCTATACAGAAATTGTAGAGAAACTGCACATTCTATGCAAAACTTATTGTAGGAGTTGCAAAAACTTGGACGAAGAAGAGAAAATCATACAGTTTTTCTGTGACTGTGGAAAAGAA